GAAAAAGCAATATGTGCACCCTTTGATATATTGAATTTCACAAATTCAATACACAACACCCAAGATAGTACCTTGCTTCAGCATGCAAGCAAATTGGGTATCTAAGTCAGCTGCTCGGAACAGGTTACTCAGCATGTTGGTGCAAGGCAGAGACAATGTCGAAACACGGATTCTTCTTTGTCCATATACGGTGGTGTACAAAAGGGCACACTAGACAAAAATAAACATTAAAGCTGATTATATAAACAATGTCTTCAAGAAGAACAAGGGGAAAAAATTTCACCGAAAAAATGTGGCTTTCCTGGTCAAATATAGGCATTTTCCACTAGGGCCACCATTATTGTTTTGTCGCAATCAATCTGAGGAAAAAGGAAGTGTAAGCAAGTTGCCCCAGCAGTTGACATTGAGAGACATACATGTCCATATAATAACACAATCTTTTGAACGATGCCATACTACACACGAGTTCAATTTGCAAAAAATAAAAAATAGGACAAATCTACAAGTTTATATAATAATTCTAAGTGAAAATTTGAAATTCTTATTTTCTGTTGGACGTAGTCAAAAACTATAACACATTATGTTTTTGATCTAATGAATACATTCCTTACACACGACAAATGCTGTTTGCTGATCTACTGACATCAAAATGAAGATAGAAGCACTAAACATCAACAACAACAACAACAACAAAGCCTAGTAGTCCCAAACAAGTTGGAGTAGCCTAAAGATGAAACCCAAGAGAAACCGGAGTAAAAAAAAAAAAAGTAAAAGCCCAAAACAAAACAAAATAAAACTCAAAAGCCAAAAACAGAACAAAAGGAAGAGATTGAAGAGTCACGGTTCCGGCACGTAGATCGCTAGCCTTTAAGCGCTCCTATCCACCACTAAATCCTTGGAGATATTCCAATTTTTGAGGTCTCTCTAGACCGACTCTTCACTTGAAGTGAGTTTAGGTCGACCTCTACCTCTCTTAATATCATCGGCTCGCTGAAGAACTCCCCTACGCACCGGTGCATCAGGAGGCCTTCGTTGGACATGTCCGAACCACCTCAGCCGATGTTGAACCAATTTCTCCTCAATTAGAGCCAGTGATTTTAGGTCGTTAATCGCGATTAATCGTCCTGGTCGCTCCCAAGTGCTCGATTATGAGGTCCAACCCGACCAGCTCGACCAGAAACCTGGTCGTCCGATTAATCGTCGATTAATCGCGATTAATCGTCTGACCAGGTCATATGGACGACCAGGACATATATTTGTCTTTTTGGGCTGGTACGTGGGCTGCTAAGCTTGGCCTGTTTGGCCTGTTAGGGTTAGGATATATATAGGAAGGAGGCAGCCCGATTAATCTAGCTGGTCGACGATTAATCACGATTAATCGTCTGGTCGGTCCGTGGTCGACCAGGTTCGACCAGCCGATCTGAAAACATTGATTAGATCCACCCCAACCCTATCTCGAATATCATCATTTCGGATTCTATCCTTTCTTGTGTGCCCACAAAACCAACGCAACATACGCATCTCTGCTACACTTAGTTGTTGGACATGTTGCCTTTTTGTAGGTCAACATTCAGCACCGTATAGCATCGTCGGGCGAATCGCCGTCCTATAGAACTTACCTTTTAGCCTTTGTGGCACCCTAAGTTTGACGTCATTTCAACCAACCGACTGCAATTCTGTGCTTAACATCTTCATCAATGTCGCCATCCTTTTGTAGCATCGATTCAAAATACCGGAAAGACTCCTTCTTGACCACTACGTGCCCTTCAAGGCTAACGTCACCATCATCCTGAGTAGCCATGCTGAAAGCACATGTCATGTACTCGGTCTTCGTCCTACTAAGTTTGAAGCCTTTCGACTCTAGTGTGTCTTTCCACAACTCTTAACTTTCTATTTACTCTTATCCTACTCTCGTCAACTAGCACCACATCATCAGCAAAGAGCATACACCAAGGGATATCACCTTATATGTCCCTTGTGGCCTCATCCATCACCAAGGCAAATAAATAAGGGCTCAATACCAATCCCGGGTGTAGTCCTATTTTAATTGGGAAGTCGCTGGTATCACCCCCACATGTTCGGACATACGTCATCGCATCCTTGTACATATCCTTGATGAGGGTAATGTACTTTAGATAGGACTCTGTGCTTTTTTAAGGCCCACCACATGACATTCCTCGATACTCTGTCATAAAGCTTCTCAAGGTCGATAAAGACCATATGCAAGTCCTTCTTTTGGTCTCTATATCTCTCCATCAACTGTCGAATAAAGAAAATCGCCTCCATGGTCGACCTTCCAGGCATAAACCCAAATTAGTTTTGGGTCACGCTCGTCAATAGTCGTAGACGGTGCTCGATAACCCTCTCCCAGAGATTCATCGTATGACTCATCAACTTAATCCCACGGTAGTTACCACAGCTTTGAACATCACCCTTGTTTTTGAAGATCGGTACTAAAGTACTTCTCCACTCATCAGGCATCTTGTTTGACCGAAAATTGAGGTTAAAAAACTTAGTTAGCCATATTAACGCTCTGGCGCCCCAGCATCTCCACACCTCAATGGGGATACCATCAAGGTCATTGCTTTACCTCCCTTCATCCTCTTCATGGCCTCTCCGATCTCTGCCTCCTGAATTCTCCTCACCAAGCGTCTATTGGTATCCTCAAATGAGTTATCCAACTCCAGGGTAGAGCCCTCACTCGCCCCAATAAACAATTTGTCGAAGTAGCCATCTGTCCTTGATCTCCCAATCCTTCACCAATGGTCGATCCGACCCATCCTTGATGCATTTGATTTTGTTGATGTCCCTTGTCATCCTCTCTCGGATCCTAGCTATCCTATAAACGTCCTTCTCTCCCTCCTTCGTGCCTAGGCACTGATAAAGGTCATCATAGGCCTGACCTTTCGCTACACTCACTTCACGCTTTGCAGCCCTCCTCGCTATCTTATAACTCTCAATGTTGGTTGCACTCTTGTTAAGGTGAAGACGCTTGAAGCACTCTTTCTTCTCCTAAATAGCCCTTTGCACCTCATCATTCCACCACCAAGTGTCTTTCGCATCCTGCTTGTTTCCCCTACTCACACCAAGTACTTCTGCAGCCACCTTCCATACACACGTTGTCATCTTTAGCCACATGTCATCCGCATCTACTCCTTCTTCCCAAGGCCCCTCGCCTAGCATCCTATCCCTTAACGTCTGCGCCGCTTCCTCCTTAAGCTTCCACCACTTCGTTCTCACGGTCTTGGCACGCTTGTCCCCGTGGACACGTATTCAGAATCGAAAGTCTGCCACCACCAGCTTATGCTGGGGGACAACACTCCCCAGGTATCACCTTGCAATCTATGCAAGCGCGTTTATCCTCCCTCCTTGCAAGGATAAAGTCGATCCGACTTGATTGTTGTCCACTATGGAAGGTCACTAGGTGAGATTCCATCTTCCTAAAGAAGGTGTTCGCTATCAATAGTGATATAAGTCAAATGCCAGGAAAATGAACCGGACACTTTGTAATAGTGAGTGAGTGAGAGTGAGTGAGTGAGTGAGTGAGTGAGTGAGAGAATACAAAGAGAGAGGGAGAGGGAGGGAGAGAGGGGAAATACAGCAGGTAAGCCAACATCAGTTGGTATGCGCCTACAGAAGTTTCCTGAATATTCCTGAACTTGAATACCCTACACAAGAAAAACATAAGAGGTAAACTAGTGTCGAAGTCACAGGTCAAACAAGTGTTTTACAAGTTTGTGAGTTCCTAACAAAAGAAGCTAAAAAACTACACAAAAAGAAGGTGACCTGGCTGCATCTAACACGCATCACAGCTTCAAATCCTTGTGGCCTTGTGACATTCCAGCGGAGGTCATTGTAAAGCTTAGCAGAATCAGAAAGGGCAGAGAAAGGGTAATAATAGTAAACCTGGACAATAAAACCAGTAAAACTGAGAGCTTGATATAACAATTTAAAGAAAAGCATATACAGTTTCCAAGTCAGGCTCTAAGTTAAAATGGTCATAGAAAATAGATTATAACTTTGCCATGTATAGTATTGTCACCTCATTATGTACTCTGATTAAGAACCTGATTTTACCTGGCCTCCAGTAGTTCTTGGCATTACAGAGAGAGACGCTATATCGACATCTGATTGCGTCGTAATGAACAAGTCCACACAGACCTGTAAGTGTAAAAGAATAAATAATGACACGACCATTCAATAAAAATAATACCAGGGGATAAACAAAAAACAGAATCAAGAGTTTGGGTGTCAAGGGATAATTCAATGTCACCTGATACTCCGCAAACTCAATAGCCATAGTTTTCAAAATCTTGTCAGCCAATTGGAGTAATTTGCGAGCCTCCTGAAACCCAAGAATTGGAATTAAGATCTCAGAATACAAATTCTATGAATGAATTAACATCAACGAATCTCACATCTAACTAAAGAGAGAGCTAGCAGAAATGAACATAATGGATGAGCATACAAATATCTATACAGACTATTCATGGCCGTTTAATTATGACAACAGGATTAGAAACTGCCTACACAATACAACAATGGTTGATTGGAGTACGTCGAAATCTAGCTATCTAATTACCCTAATAAGCTATCTAATATACATTTATCTTATTACACCATACAAATAATTCGCACAGGGTCAAATTTTGGAATCTCCCTTCATTTCAAAGTTAGTTGAAACCACATTCAAATCACAATTAAAGGGACTAGAAACAAGCTAGGGATATGGAACTTCTGTGGGTGACAAAACTCAAATAAATATTCACATAACATGCACATTAGTATTTTGCTCTGCATTCCCAATAACACATGATACACGTTTTGAGCAACTTGAGGAAAGAAGGAAGTAAAGTTTGCACTCTATTGTCCCATTTAGATTCAAAGGTTGAATGATAAAATCTGCACACACATGAGAGGAGGCAGAAAAAAACCAATGAACGAGATTATCAAGGCTATTGAAGGATTGCACTATGATGTGGATCTCAACATTCATTGTCCATCCCTCCCATAATAGAAAGATATTTTTTTATTCAATAAACTGTATCCAAAAAGTATACAATATAAGAGAAGAGTAATCAAATACGGTAGGGGTTACAAGACTCTTATATGCGGCATTTTATACCTTATCTCCCACTGATATGTTGCTTCTGCCTTCTGCTTCTCTAGCAGAAAGGGATCCAATGCCAGTTGACGGCCATGCTGCAATTCATAACTCATCAGCGTAGTACTACAGGGAAAACTATTATTTCCATTAAGTGAGATGTTAGAACTTAGAAAGTAGCAAATACGCAGAAAGCCAAAGCGTATACATAATTTATACAGGTAACAGATATGCAGTCAATATAGGCCAATCCTAATCTTTGCCCAAAACAATGCGGTCAATGACAAGAAGAAGAGCTAGTTTAACATGACAAGAAAGAAGAGGTAGTTTACATGCTTGTGAATGTGTCCTACATAGACAACAAACATTTGTGTATTTGTCAGCTTACTTGATGGGAAGACAAGCAGTTTGCCACCAGTGCTTTTCATTGCCAAGAAAGCCGCCTAAAGTACAAAAGAGGATCAGAATTAATTAATGTCAAGTAATCTAGGGATAAATCAATTAAAACATTATAAATCAATTAAAACATAATAATCAAGTTCATTTAGCAAATGTAAGGTTTCTGGTTAGTGATTAGGAGATGACTTGGAAAAGTTCTTGGGGGAAGTTGTTTCTAGGAGAAGGTAAGCAAACAACATTAAGTGTCATTTCCCATCTCTTTGGTTATTCTGCCTGACTCTGCAACAATACGCATGAAGGCATTCACATAAAAAATAAATAAATAAAAATAATGCCCATACCTTTACTGCAGCACAACATGCTGAATCAGCAGTTCTATTACTCTCAAACATTGTAGGAATACTTTCTAACAGTATCTCCAAATGCTGGCGGCACTACAATTCAAAAGGAGAGTTATTTTTCTTCATGGGGAAAAATTAAACATAGAAAAACACATAAGACCCTGGAACTGCTTCTTCAATCAATCTCTGGTCTTAAATTATAAATAAATAACTAATAAATTGAAAACAAAGATTACAAGAAATTTGAAAAAATAAGTTTTATATGGGCAGAAAGTCAACAAGCTGCTCTCGTAGGAACCAAGCTAAAAAAAGACAACCAACCTCATCAATTTGGACAATAACATCACTTTCCAGAGGAGTGTAGACATCTTGCACATCAGGAACTATAAGCATCAACGGCTGAAATGAAACAGAAAAATAACATAAAAGTTACCACCCAGCACAGCAAGTACTTGTACAACATTATTTTGCTAAAGGAGATCAATATCTAAAGCCTAGAGGCTTTTGCACAGACTATAATCCAGATCAAATCAATAAAGGAACGGAAGGAATGTGTAGTGATACTGTGACAAAACCAGTGTCGCCAAAAGCTAATATCCCCCCACAGACCTGCTGTGAAGCTCGTTTTAGGTTGTAAAAGTGGATGGTCGAGTCAAATGTAGCAATGCCCACCATTGTTCGAGGCCCCTTCTGCAAGAAAAAGGTCACTCATCCATGTTAATAGTTCCCTTTATCCTCAAATCCTTCTTTCTCCTTTTTACAAGGAAAAGAACAAAACAAAGTACTCAACAGTGGTCCGCGGCACTAAGTGGAAAATAAATTTCATGTGCAAGAAACTCATTGAGATTATTACCAGAGCCACCGGTACAGAGGCTAAAAATCCTACAACTTACAGACATCTAGTACTTGATAGTTAATATAAAATTACGTCAATGCAAAATACATATCATATCACATTATGGAAACCTCCAAAGAGAGACTTATAGTGGAAATTTCAACACAGACAAATACCAGCACTAAGCTACAGATTCTATGTTCTTTCTCTGAATGCATTTTCTTAATTCGGATTAAATACACCATAAGTGATTCGGTGACGAAGAAAAAAAAATAGTACTGTAATTGAGTTCATAAAAAAGGACCACTAACTTGATGTAATAAAAGCCGTGCACGAACTTACAGGAAGATCAGCTATAACTTGGTTGATCGCACTGCAAGCTGCTGCAGTTGCACCAGTTTGTACGGCATTCATTGATACATCAATGAGAAAGAAAAATACAGCGGGCATTGGATCACGCACCTGAAACATTTACATTAGACATAATGCATATCAGAAATGTAAGAACGAACAGAGATATATTTCATCCAACAATAAAGGGAAAAAAAAAAAAGAGGGATTTTCCTCTCCCCCAGTCCAATACCCACACCCACACAGCACAAATTTCACAAACTCAAGAATTGTAAGTTATGCAGAAGCGCCCCAATGCTATGGTTGCTAAGGTACTATGGAATTTGTAACAGG